TATCAAATTGAAAAGTGTAACACATGTTAAAGAGTTCTTCATCCAAATACACATGAAATCGTTTAATTTAATATTATTTGAAGCTTGATTTATTTATTCAGGCGATATCTCAAGTTATTTCCTACCCGGTTAACATGAAAATAAAATCAATATTTGGCCACAAATAACACCCTTAAATATAAGGAAAAAAAGCCTCGATGGGAGTGCGCCCACTCTACCCCACCCCCACCCCCCCCCCCTTTCAGATGGCACCTCAAGAATTGGAGTGGAAAATGAGTGATATCTAGCGATCTATGTATTACCCTTCATATGGCACCCCAATCATTGGAGTGGGAAATGAGTGATATCTAGCGATCTGTGTATTACCTTTCATATGGCACCCCAAGCATTGGAATGGAAAATGACTGATATGTAGCGATTAGTGTAATACCCTTCATTTGGCACCCCCAAGCATTTTTGTTGGAAATGACTGATATCTAGCGATCTGTGTATTACCTTTCATATGGCACCCCAAACATTGGAGCGGGAGATGACTGATATATAGCGATCTGTGTATTAACCCTCATATGGCACCCCAAGCATTGGAGTGGAAAATGATTGATATATTTTCGATCTGTGTATTACCCTTACATAGTGTTTGTCCTGCGCACGCGAAAAGAACAAAGTAATTTTTGACTTGAGTAGTAGCCTTGACTTGAGTAGTAGACTTGACTTGACAGTATTTTGTTTAAAATGAGGGGAAAGAGTAGGTCAGTTGCTCAGCCTCACTCTCTCGTACTTGCCTATTTAACTCGGTTTAGACCAATCGGCCATTCAGCACCCGCTGTTAACTTGACAGTCTCTATAATATTTTTTTTCCTCATCTTACCATGAATATAAAAAAGACAGACCACCCGTTCGGTTTGCTGCGTCGTAGACGGCATTCCTACAGTTACAATTCAAGCGTGTCCTACCTGTACAGACTGTGTTGTTTACACATTCGCTGCCAAAGGCCGTGTTGCTTACACTTATACAGACCGTGTTGCTGACCCTTACACTGCCACCAAGCTAATTGTGGCAAGACAGCCCAAAAATGGCACAGACTTGAAAATATGCCGTATCTGTGGAAGCTTGGCCTAAAAAATGACTTCTGGCCTACTTAGCAGCACTGATTCATTGTTTTATATCACGCATGGGCGATTCGTAAGACTAACATTTATGGAGTCAGTGCTTTAGCTGGGGTCAGTTCCAGCCGGGGTGGGTCAAGACATTTTGCAACCCTTATCCGAGGAAAAATCGCTGCGGTGTGCTAAATAAAAGTGGCGCTTGGGGTGGGGTGCCTTCCCCTTTGGCTCTTCCGTCTTCCTACGCCACTGCGAGGTGACTGCATATCATTGCTGATTTCGAAAGAAGGGGAAAAAATGTAGATGTGACGCGCTTGGAGCCATGTGACATGCTTATGGTGCAGATGGAGCCATGTGACACATTTATGGTGCAGATGGAACCATGTGACGCGCTTGTGGTGCAGTTGGAGTCATGTGACTCGCTTATGGTGCAGATGGAGCCATGTGACGCGCTTATGGTGCAGATTGAGCCATGTGACGCGCTTATGGTGCAGATGGAGCCTTGTGACGCGCTTAT